ATCTCCCCTTTCAAGTAAACAATTCACAAAGTATATTACTTAAGTTCTCAAAACTTGTCAATGAAACTTTAAATTATGCAATGAAATTTTATGCTAAAAGTTTCATTAAGATTTTGATTCAAAGCACTTAGATGAAAATTTGAGAAAAATATGAATTCTGAATTGTTAGAAAGAGGCGTAATTTGAAAATCTTAACCCATAGCTATATATAATTGAATTAAAGCTTTTGAAATGAGTATAATATCATGAATGATTTCCATGATTTAAAGATAAAGTTTGGAAAGTGTTAGAATTAGATTGAATATGAAAAAATGCCACTACTTCAGTGGTAACTGATTAACATATTATCGTAATCGGTTACAGCTAAAGCTAAAAAAGTATTTTCAAAATTTTCATGGTTGTAACCGGTTATAGGGTTTGGTTAACCGGTTAATAGCTGAATATTTTTTCAAAAATGTTGAGTTTCCGTTTTTGTAATCGGTTAACACATTTGTGTAATCGATTACAACTAATTGAAAATCTAAAAATCAATTTGTAACCACAAATTCTCAAATGATTAAGTTTCAAAATGTGTTTGAATGCTTAGAAATGAAGGTTGCATGTTTGTTCTGAGTACTACGGTAAAATACAAAGCTCAATTGTAACTTGTACCTTATTTTATTAGATCAATCCAATAAAGTCCAATGTCATCTTGAAGATTGCTTGTGATCCAAGTCTTGTCACCATAGCTTTTTGTGAACATAGAATTTTTTCCTTTTTTGATATTATATTTGATCTTGATCAACGTTGTTCAATGTTACCTTCATCAAAACATACTTGTCTTCACATTCTCCTCCTTTTTGGTGATGACAACCATGAATTATTGAAATGCTTAAAAATTGGTGGTTGAGAAACATACTCCCTTTTACTATGATATCTCCCCCTTGATAAATCAATGTTGTAATTCAATGAATTTTTGTCCTTGCATAGGTTAGTAAACTACAACATACTCTTCTCTCCCTTTGTCATTATTAAAATGAAGGGAAAATACCCAAATAAAGAGTTTTAACAAAGGAAATAACATAAAAGGATGGATAACCAAAGATAACCACACCATAATATTAAAATAGAAATAAATATGTCTTAGCATTACAAAATATAACAAATCCATATACATTCTAATTAACATGTTATAAATCATATATGAAGACATATAATAGAGATTATTAAAGCTATTAATTTACACAAGAATTATAAATTAATATATATTAGAAGAACAAAACCCATGTTACTTGATATAAGTTTGAAGAGGATGACATTATATATTATATATGTGCACTGCTGGCTTTGCTTTATATTTAAACATCATTCTCATCCGATATCACAAGTTATCTTCAAATCTTATAAAATGGTCCATTTGCTAATGTTTTTGTGAAAATATCTGCCAATTGATTATGTGTATAAACAAATGTAACTTGACATTTCCATTAAGCACGTGATCTAGTTGAAAGTGATATTGTATGTCTATATATTTAGTTCTTGAGTGCACAACTGGATTTTTGGTTATGTTGATAACACTTGTATTGTCACACTTCAACAGAATGCGTCCAAGGATTACACCATAGTCGAAAATTTATTGATTTATCCATATAATTAGTGCACGACAACCTCCTACTGCAATATATTATGCTTCTATTGTACTAACAACAACACATGCTTGTTTTTTACAAGATCATAATAATAAATAATTTCCTAGGATATGTTTGTTACACCTAAGACACCAAAGCTTAGGAAGCATCGCGTTAAATAAAATAATACAAAAGAAAAATAAAAATCAACCTAAAGCTCCCTGAGTCCAGGCGCTAAGATCATCCTTTAGTGTCAACTCAGAAGCAGCTTGGAACTGGTTCAGCGCCTCGACCCAGATTATGGCATCCGGATAGATGCTACTCACTTGCTCTATGACCTGCATAGTTTCCTAAAGGGAAACGTGGAGTGCCTACCACATACCGGAACCTCGTCTCTAAGAGCTTTATGAGCCTCAACATAAGCATCGGCCTCCTAAAGAATAGTTTTTCAATCCCCCTCTACCTGGAAATTCTTCTCCTCAACAACATTAGGGCATCTTCCATCTTGGTTACCCGAGAAACCAAAGTATAATTAGAGTCCTAGATTTTAGCCTCCTACTCTAAAGACTTAGTAAGCTTGACCTCATCCTATAGTGCACCAAGCTCATTTCTTAGAGTAAAACACCTATGTTTCATCGCTTCACATTTCCCTTTCTAAGTATCCCTTTCTTTTTAGGGAATTCCATTAGCCAAGACATCCCCTCTGCCACACCGAGACAAGGGAGAATAAAGAAGCAACTTAATAAATTCAATGAGTAACCTTATAGATGAGATCCATCTTGTCAGCCTCAGAGAGATTTTGAACAAATGATAAATGTGACTTTCAGACAATAGCGCAACCTCATCAAAAGCGCAAGCAAGGTGGGAAAAGAATATGTTTGGCATCTGCAATAAGGGAGTCTCTCCCTCAAAGCATTGTCCCTAACCATATAAGTTTGTTTTGGAAAACTCTCTTCCCTGGGGGATTGTTGATCTTCATCCCAGACCTGACAAAAATCAGTAGAATCGACCGGGGATTATTAAGTTCAAAGAGGTATATGAAATGTGAGTTTGTGAAGCAGAATGAATAAGGGAAATTTTAGATTTTGATTAAAGAGTTGAAACAGTTTCAATTAATGCTTTTAGGAGAGAAGAGGAGAAGGAGTTACAAAATTAGTGAATATGAACAAACTCGAATCCAAAGATTGCAAAAAGTCTAAAAGTGCTCAACTTCTCCTACTTATAGGGCAAGGCCAAAGGAAGATCCATATCAGATCAGGGAAAAGGTTAAGAGATCCACGGGTATATTCCTTCTATGGAAAACACGCAAACTCGTGTGCACTTAAGTGCTCTATAAACCTTTCTATGTCCTAACTAGTCACGCCACCTGACGTGTCAGAATAAGGAAATGAAATGTTTCAATGATGGGATTGCCTTTAATGCACTTATTTTCCGCTAGTTTTTTTAGCTGATTCCAAGCGTTTTAGCTGTATTTCACATCAAACAATATCTTGGAGGCCAACAGTTGACTTAGGATTTCGTACCTAGTAGAAAAATCAACTCAATACTGCATTTATTGAAGTACTAAGTGTTAGCAGTGATGGACAAGAGTCGACAGTGATGAAACATCGTCTGGAGCTCTCCGACAAACATCTTGAGATGTAGTTTGGGAGAATCTCAAGAGTATGTCTTGAGAATTAGTTTGAAGGAGTCTTAGGAACAGACCCGAGTAACTACTTGACACCACGTCAAGGAAGGCCTGTCCGATAGGCTTTAAAGACATAGAAGATTGAGGAAACCAAAGATAAAAGAGACTCAATGGTTTTAGTAACTACCATCGACGAGCAAGGAGTTACTGGTCTCTAACCAGTTGGAGAATGTGGGATAATGGTTTCAGCAGTTCCAAAGCCTTGACGACATGGCAAGATGTCGGAACAGGAGTTGCATGTATTCGAAGGACGTGTCAATTTCTATAGATGTAAACTATCGAAGGAAGTTATTTTTAGTTTAGTATATATAACACACTCATGTGTTGTAATTCACTTACATTCTCTATAGAAATGGAGTACCAAAGTCAAATAGTGAAACAATTTGTGACCAAGTATGTGACTTTGCGTCCCTTTTTCTTTTTACCTTTTTATGTTTTCTTAATTAAAAGATCTTTTATTCTTGTCTTGTATTGCCTTTCATTTAATGTTGTTTATTTCAAGTTCTTTTTACTTTAATTTAAGTTTTGCTGTCTTTAAAGTCTACTTTCATATTGTCTGCATCCAAAAATTTGTAGTTACGTCTTGCACTTACGTCACAGTAAAAGTTTTTGCACAAAATTGATCCCGATATTTTTTGAGTTAATCTCAAAGACTTTGAAACTCGAGATTCTTCGCTAAAAACACCTGCGAACACCGACCAACATCACTTAAGGCTTTTCCTGGCTCATTATGTGCCCAAATTATAAATGAGTTCACACTCAAAGAGGAATTTATATTGTCTAATCTCCACTTTCAATACACTCATCATGAATCTTAAACTAACTTGGATGCTAGAGTGTCAACCATGCAGGTTCATCCTGCAACGGCGTAACACATGTCAACACCACCGTTTCAAGATCATCATTCTTCAACTATATTCATTTCCAGTTCTCGAACGGAACGCTTTCAAAAAAGCTTTTAAATATAAATACTTTTAAAAATACTTTAAAAAAATACAAATTTTAAAAAAACTTTTAAAATATAAATTGTTAAAATATAAATTTGTCTATCAATATGAGTTGACATATAGTTTCAGTTAATTTAGTGAATGTGAAAACAAAGGGTTGAAAGGTATTTTCATAATTTCCAATTGTAATTTTTTTTGTTGATTAATAAAAATACTTTACATAAAGAAAAGATACAGAAAATATAAATAAATCAATTTAATTTAATTTGAAATATTTATATATAGTTCATTTTCTTCTTTAGTTTTTAATGTTATTTAAAATTTCAATTAAATATGGCTTTATTATATCTTTATATATATTTTTATTAGGACTAATTTTTAAAATTGGAACATGACTCTAATTTATATGAGAAGGCCCTGCATTTTACTATCCATTAATGTATTACACTATGGTATCTCTAATTATAAAGAGAAAAAAAATTAAGAAACGTTAAGATTAATCTATGAAATATCTTGAATATTCTTATTTGATTTGATGTTATGCCCCTCATGAAAAGCAGGCACTAATAGCTTTTTCAATAATTCATCCTTCAATTATTGTAACATTTTTCCTTTCCTTTCCTTTAAAAAAAGTGGTAGCAAAATGTACTTTAGTGCAACATGATAGAGTTGATTTGAGAAGTATACTTGGTTTAGCAAATTCTGTGGCACTCTCGTTTTGAATAGGTTAACTTTATCTTCACTTTTGAAACAATATTGATGATGATAAGGTTTGAAACAAAGAAACAAGTTGTATGGATATACTACTTATGGGTGTGGTGGTGGAGTACTAGTGTTTGTGTTAAAGCAGGGAATGATAGTTTGATGGCAGGTGAAAGACTGAATGCCACCTCCACTCTATGTTCTAAGCATGGCAGGTATTGTCTATCATTCTTTTCATTCGATACCGGAAATAAAAATATTTACTTGGCTATAGAAAATAGAGCTAGTGTTGATCAAGGAATAATATGGACGTATGATAGTAACCAACCAATTGATCGTAGTTCAGCGGTTTTATCTCTCAACTACTCCGGTGTGCTCAAAATTGAATCTCAATATAGCAAAGAAATAATCATTTACTCTTCATCTCAAACTATACACAATACTGTGGCTACTATGCTAGACACAGGTAACTTTGTACTTGAACAACTTCACCCCAATGGAACAAAGAGTTTATTGTGGCAGAGTTTTGATTATCCATTTAAAGCTTTGGTCCCAAAGATGAAGTTAGGTGTTAATCGGAAAACTGGACATAATTGGTCATTAGTTTCGTGGTTGACTCCTTCGCTACCAAATTTGGGTGAGTTTAGTCTTGAATGGGAACCAAAAGAAGGAGAATTGAACATTAAGAGAAACGGAAAAGTGTATTGGAAAAGCGGAAAACTTGGAAATAATGGATTGTTTGAGGATATTCCAGCAAATGTTCAACAAAAGTATCAATACATTTTTATCTCTAATAAGGATGAAGATTCTTTCAGTTTCGAAATTAAAGACCAGAATTATAACATGACCCCAACGTGGTTGCTATCCTCTACGGGGAGGCTGACGAGTTCGGAAGGAGAGTTAGGAAATGCAGATATTTGTTATGGATATAATAGTGATAGTGGATGCCAAAAATGGGAGGATATACCAACTTGTAGGAAACCTGGTGAGGTGTTTCAGATAAAGATAGGCCTACCCAACACTGTCAATTTTACCTTCTTCGACAATACGAATATTGGTTACATTGATTGCAAGGTAAGTTGTTGGAGAAACTGCGGTTGCAATGGATTCCAAGAATTTTTTGATGATGGAACTGGATGTATATTTTATTCATGGAATTCTACACAAGATGTTGATTGGAAGAGTGTGAATAACTTTTACATGTTGGAAATGCCAACAAAGTCAGACCCAAATCACTATGGTAAGTCTAAAATATTTTTAATTAGATGTTTTAGGAGAAATTTCTCTTAATACTGCTTGAAAATCTAGTAGAAATTAAAAAGGCAACTATAAATATTAATTTATTGTCTAAATACTCAATGCAGGTAAAAGAAGGTGGATATGGATTAGTGCAGCAATAGCAGCTGCTTTACTCATAATAGGCTCACTCATTCTATGGATAGCAATAAAGAAACACAAATATGGACTTAAAGGTACTTGACTACTTCAAAATAAAAACTCAAATACATACTTTTTAATCAAATCCATTTATATTCTCTCTATAATTTTTCTTGCTATGCAGAGAAGAAAGTTAAAAGAAAGGAGAATGAGATGCAAGAGTTAGCCACTTCCAATGAATTATATAATATCAAAGATCTTGAAGATGATTTCAAGGGACATGATATAAAAGTTTTTAGCTATGCATCCATTTTGGAAGCAACCATGGACTTTTCCCCTGAAAACAAGTTAGGACAGGGAGGATATGGACCCGTTTATAAGGTGACTTAAAATTATTAAAAAAAATGAGCATCTCAACATGTTTATGCAGATCTTTTATATCTTAATAATTTGTTCATATCTTTTGAAAAACTGTTTTAAATTATTGATGATTTTTATTTTAAAAGTTCAGGGAATCTTGGCAACCGGGCAAGAGGTTGCTGTAAAAAGACTTTCAAAAACATCTGGACAAGGAATTATTGAATTCAAAAATGAGTTGGTGCTAATATGTGAACTTCAACATAAAAATCTTGTAAAACTACTTGGTTGTTGTATTCACGAAGAAGAAAGGATTTTAATTTACGAATATATGCCAAACAAAAGCCTGGATTTCTATCTATTTGGTGAGAATATGTGATGTTTTTAAAGACAAAAGATTGAAACCTATTTCCATTCTTAACAAAATATTTTAGTAATTGGTGTTGAAGATTGACAATAATACTCGGTTTGATTTCTACTTATTTGTAGTTTACATTCTAACATAACTTGTTACATTTTCACTTGGAAGATTCTACAAAAAGGAAGTTACTCGATTGGAAGAAGCGCTTCAACATTATAGAAGGAATTTCTCAGGCATTGCTCTATCTTCATAAATACTCAAGATTAAAAATCATTCATAGAGACTTGAAAGCTAGCAACATACTTCTTGATGACAATATGGATCCAAAAATTTCTGATTTTGGCATGGCAAGAATGTTCACACAACAGGAATCCACAGTAAATACAAACAGGATTGTCGGAACATAGTGAGTTTTCTAAACTTTATTTAACCTAATTCAGGAAAATAATTTTGATGTTGTTAAATAATTGTTATTGCAGTGGATATATGTCTCCAGAATATGCGATGGAAGGAATTTGTTCTACAAAGTCGGATGTCTATAGCTTTGGTGTGTTGCTACTTGAAATTGTTTGTGGAAGAAAAAACAATAGCTTCTATGATGACGATCGTCCACTAAACCTAGTAGGATATGTATGTAAAAATTAGTCACATTGAGTTTATTCTTTTTTCAAATTATATCTAATTTCATGAAATTACAATGCAAGGCTTGGGAACTATGGAATGATGGTGAGTATATGCAGTTACTGGATCCGTCATTAAGTGACTCATTTGTTTCTGATGAAGTGAAAAGGTGCATTCATGTTGGTCTCTTATGTGTAGAACATTATGCAAATGATAGACCTACAATGTCTGATGTTATATCAATGTTGACAAACAACTATGAACTTGTGACTTTACCAACAAGACCAGCATTCTATATTAGAAGAAAGATCACCGAGGAGGAGACAACTTTGAAAGTTCTGGTTAGTGACACCTATTCAACAACTACAATTTCCTCCTCCGAAATAAAAAGGCAATAAAAAAGTTTATATAGTAAAAATTTAAGATTGTTGTGTACTATAATAACTACATAACTTTCTTTTCTTATATCATTGACTACACTAATCTTATGTCTTTATCATCTACTATTATATATTTTTGTCTCTTTTCCCGTTCAAATATATATATATATATATATATATATATATATATATATATATATATATATATATATATATATATATATATATATATATATATATATATATATATATATATATATATATATATATATATATATATATATATATATATATATATATATATATATTCTCTTTAATGTGACTTTTCTTTGTGAATTTTTTATTTGCTATAGGCACGCTTTAGTGTTTATCATATGTCTTAATAGTGTAAGATTTATATATCATGGTTTGTGTCTCTGAATACCTATTATTTCATTTAACCATGGAACCAAGCTAGAATATATGATCTTAGATCTTGTGTTGGGTATATGCGATAAAATATGAATAAGAAAGAAGATGAAAATGATATGATAAGAGTTGTATAAAATAAATTTTAAAGTGTGTGTTTATATTAAGTTTTATGTTTTATTTGTCTCTACTAATTTAAGCAAATTGGATGCAAATGGGTTGTCTGTCGAATCTTCTTTAGAATACTTTGAAAACATTAATATGTATCGTACATTAAGCATATTGATTAACGATATTTTATGAAATAAAGTTTCTTTATTTATTCTCGTGTGCTAGAAAAATAAAAGACTGACTTAAATATAATTTTTGACACTTGAAACATGTAATTTTCATATACTTTTATGTCTAACATGTCTCTCTATTTATAGAAAAATTTGTACCAATGAGTGAGGAGAAACAATGTTTTAAATGGTTTCAAGATGACCATTCAAGAACAATTATACATGAATTGTTGTGTTGGTCCTTTGACATTGCTTTAGGTATTTGCGCCACTAACCAGGGGGGCTTGGTTTGATTCTGGCCAGGCACAACTTTCACCAACGTTCCCCCACCATTTTCTAAATATATATAAATTCATTATTCGAGAAATTTTATGGTTTCATATAAAGGTATCTTACGTTTTGAACCAATACTTAATAAGTTAAGTTTTTACTCATCTCCGAATAGATTAATAATAAACTTTTAACCAATTATTCATTAGAACAAGCATGCATAACTCACACATGAAATCTTGGTACCTTGATCAAATTATTAATATGACACATTTAATAAGGCCTTGTCTCTCATATCCTTTTCATAAAAATTTAAGATTGAAGCCCTTGAACTCTATGAAGCGACACCACTTCATTCTCATATAGGTAGACTATATCAAAAAAGCATCCATATTTATGCATTCCAGCAAACATATATATATATATATATATATATATATATATATATATATATATATATATATATATATATATATATATATATATATATATATATATATATATATATATATATATATATATATATATATATATATATATATATATATATATATATATATATATATATATATATATATATATATATATATATATATATATATATATATATATATATATATATATATATATATATATATATATATGTATATATATGTCTATTAAGAAGAAAACCTCATCCTACCACACATATTCTTATGGTCATAGTAATTTTACCACTTGAAATGTATCTATCATTAAGTAATTCAATCACTCTACTAGTTTACTTTTATCATTGAACTCAAGACTTAACATTAATAAAATGTGAGTTGAACTTCCATTATTGATGATTAATTATATACGACGTTGTTCCACATCCCTAATGATGTCTTTATTGTATTCGACTATATCTAAAGACATCATATTTTTATCAATCATTTCGTCAAAGAATTGCAAGATTTTTCCAAACTTGAGTAAATTCCGAATATTCAATTCTTCAACTAATCGTGCATATAATTACATTATGTACTCTTGATAATATTTACCATATATCGGGTTTAGGGTTTTTATCATATTGTCATCTTCATCTTATTTTGTTCATCTCATTAAGAAGAACACCAAAATATGATAAACATTGAAACCCTAAAAACTTTCAAGCTTGAATTGTGGTTACTATTTTTAACATCATGGAGTATTGACCTTGTATAAAAACCCTAACAAAGGAGCTTTGGATATGTTATCTATATTCTTGCATTTCTTTGTCTTAGAACAGACTTTTGCACATCATTCATAGCTTACTCTTGGACTTTCTTACAATGAGAGTTATTCTATCAATTATTTCTAGTTAGTCGTCTAAAAGACTAGCCCATTTTGCTAGTACACATTTAGTTTATCATGTCAGTTGTGTACTTATTACTTATTTCTTCCCTATTTGAGAAAATGTATTCCCACTCCCATGACGTGTAATAACTTTACCGCTTTCTCCTTGCTTGATAGTTGCTTAGGCTTCTAATTCAAAAATAAAATTAGCCACATATTTTCAAAAGGTCACAAATACGCTTGATGCAACGTCAAGCATTTTTCATAATAAACCAATTTAATAAGTTTATATCACCCTCAATCCATCACACTCCATTTGCATTCACCCTGTGTAAGTCGATTGCCTTGTGCATCGCCATCAACCTTCCCATTCACCAAAATATTTTCATAATCAATCCGTCAAATTCTTGATCCAATATCAAGAGGATTTTTATTAATCAAACTCAAAAGCACAATAAGATACGAGAGGGATTGTGTGCCACTAACTTTAAGTGGTGGAGAAGGAGTGAGAATGAAGTTCTCCTACACTCACTCTGATTATTTTGACACAAGGCGTTAGACTTGTTTGCTAGAAATAATCTCCTCTACCCATAGTCTTTAGTTAAATCCTAATCAAGAACTATCTCATTCAAAATCATAAAAACAACATCAACTCATTCAAACTCTTTTTGTGCCTAAGGGCCTCACTCCGAAAATCATTTTTCAAGGTAAAATCAACCAACAAACAAATATTTTTTAGGATGAACTATGAAGCTCTGACTTCCTCACTGCACCATGAGGGTACGTAGGCACGAAGCTAATGTAGAGACGGGAATTCTAATAAAATACATCCTTTTCCCTTTGGCAGATCAGCCCTTAGATAAATGACACCATTTCATGCGCTGACAACCTAGATGGTTCCCGTTTAGTACAACGAATATGAGGGACGCTAAACTCTTCCCCATGCATAACCGACTTCCGAACGCCAACATTGGTTGCGACAACCTTGTCAAATCCTTTATCCGATTCCACGGGTTTTCTTGATGTTTTCCCTTCACTCTTTTGGGAATAAATAAAGTTAGATGGCGACTCCTTTGTCAGTCTAATCGACGAGCTATTCTCGTGAGGTCGTATTTTTACTGCGGTGCGACTGATTGGGGAATCTACTGAGGACTTCATCTCCACTAAGTAAGTTAAGCCTAATATAGGCTTTCTTCACATGTTTGAGTGTTTGTTTATTTGCTTCATCTGCTTTTATTTATTTATTTCATCTATAAATATTTGTATCTTATCTTTTGTGTTGGATTAGATACTCTTGTTGCAAACCTTGTGGAAAAGGCTCTCTACTCGAGTCTAGAGTGCACAACGTTAGATAACAGAGGTTGAGTAGTATGGGGAACCGAGGAATTCTCCTTGTGTCATTCGATACGAGAACCTTGCTTATAGTAGAATCTAATGAGGATGTTGAAAACTGTCAAGTTCTTGGTGTGGATGACCGACGTTTTTCTTGAAATCCATGAATCTAAGGATCTTTTAAAAACTAGGATTGATAGTCACATATTATGAGGCACTGAGGATTTCTCCTCATGTTGTTCGATACAAAGATCTCATTCAGAGTAGACTTTCTAGGTGGATTCGTTTTCCTGGAAATCACCAACATACACAACGAACAATCAAGGAAGTCCATGACTCTGAAACCCTTGTCTAGAACCCAATGTCGATGGTCGTGTAGTATGGGACACCGAGGAGTTATCCTTGCTTAGTTCAATACTAAGACATCACCCAAAAGAGATTCATATGATGGAGTCATCAACCCGCATGCTCATGTCGTGTCTGATGAACAATCATGTGTCTTCATAACTTTGGAGTTCCCTTTTAACTCTAGATCTTACCTGGTGAGATCCTTGTAAAGAGAGAAGTCAGCCTTATCCTCAATCCGCTCCTCGAACATATGAAATTATGTACATGTGATCCTAGAATATTGCATCTAACATTGCATCCATACATGTTATGACATCAAATTTTCAAAAATATTGCATTGTATCAGTTGTTGTAGCGGTAAAAAAAATCGTGAGCGTAAGCTATTGATTAGCTTAACTCAAAGAACAAGAGTCGCCACCGCACTTTTATTTTATCCAAATAAAGGAAAGGAAAAAGAGCGAACAAAACCAAAGAGTTCTAAAATAAGAACACGAGACAGAGATCGGGGTAAGGGGGTTGGTTACGCAATGGGAAGGTGTTAGCACCCAAAACGTCTATAGTACTCTATAGGAGCCCTTTGAAATATTTACGCTTTTTGGTTTGAAAATGGTTTGTTTGAAAAGAGATTGGGGAGATGAGAAGAGAATTATTTTTTTAGATTTTTGTGTTTGGAGAGACTTATCGTCTCATGCCTACGTACCCATAAAGTGCAATATGGAATCAAAACCCCGTAGTTCGTGGTACAAATGACAAAATTTTGTTGGTTTTGATTGATTTTAGATGTAAAGACAAGTCGTCATTTCAAGGAGAAAACTGCGACTATCCACCCACGAGTATTAAGACAACATCTGCGTCACATAAAGATGGAGGATTTGCTTGGATTATCAACAAGACTATCACTCAACATCAACGTGGAAAATGTCAAAGTCTTAATAATATGGGGAATAGGAGATTTACATCTCAACTATAGAAATGAATCATGTCTAAACTTTATGAAAAGTTTTAAAGTGAAAAAGTGCATAAAGGCACAAAAAGAGTTGATGAGTTTTTGTATTTTTTATGTCTTTTGAAATTGGTCAAAAC